TTCCGAGGTCCCTTCCAGCCCAAATGTCTATGAAATCTAGGAAACAAGAGACAAAATACCCCAGTACCCTCACAGCAGTAACATCCCATAAGTAATATAGACCAGAAGATGCCCCTGTGCCTCTGGTAGCAACATTCTGCCCATAACAGGGACCAGAAGGTGCATTTGTATCTGCTGTAACCATGTTGCATTGGAAATAGGGACCAGAAGACATTTCAGAACTAACAAATACCTCAGTTATGCCACTGCAACAAAATCAGACGTTGGACATCCCTCCAGTGGGTTACTGGCGGCTTCCCTGTGAAAACACACCACAGTCAACAGCATTCTGCTACAGGACAGCACTACAGAACAAGGATGGCTACTTTTCCCTGGCATTTCTACTCTACTGTCCATGTAGGCCAGGCCACTTTGATGCAAGCCCTCCATCTCTAACTTGTCACAGCATTTAAATCCTCCGACTTCAAAATTTGTTTTACATTCAATAGAGCATTGCCCTTTAATAGCACCGCCCCCAAAGGGCAACTGTACCGAACCTTGTCAGCAACGTCTTATCAGAAACAAGGTTCCCCATATTCCTGCATCAGTTTCCCTCAGAAACATGAAGTGCTGCAAATCTCACCAACTGTGCCTCCCTGTCCCCCAAAATAAAGGTACCTCACACCCCACCGATGTGGTCCGGGCATAAAAGAATAAAGCCCCCCCCCCCAGCAATAGCGCAGGGCCTGCCTGTGCCCCTTCCTACTTCCAGAAATGAGTTCTTCCTCCATAAAAAATGGTGCTCCACATCCCATTAAGCAGCAGCCTCTACAGCAGTGGTTTTCAACCTGTGTCTGTCGACCCCTGGGGGTTCACAGATTGTGTCTAAAGGATCTGTGAAAAATGACTAGGATCAACCAAAAGTATGTGAATACCCACACTTACAATTCAAAGGGGTCTGACCCCCATTCCATTTTTTTATGGGTCCAAAATTCATCTGTCCCCAGAGGGCATCAAGGACTCAAAGCCTTCCGCCCTCACGCAGCCCCACTCTTCTTTACAGACAGAACCAAAATGAAGAAGCAGGACCTCAGAGGCACCTCTGAAAGATTATCAGCGTGAAAGCCTCAGCACACGCACATAACTGCGCCGTAAACCGCACATATACTGAGCTCTGAGAATGTATGTATGGACAAGTCTTTGTCACTGACATGAGTGTAGTCAGTCACCATCTGAATAGGAAGATAACTTGAGGACAAATTCTTTCTACAAAATTTGATTTCTCCATTTTTTTCTCCATAGTTTCTCGCGTAGCTTATTTAAATACAGATGTGTGTCTCATCATCATCAGGCATGTGCTTCATCATCCACGTCTCATCTCTCATGCTAGATGTGCAAGGAAAAGAGCTTGCAAAGTAAGAAGAAATATTAGGACTGTTTCGTTTCCTCAGTTAAAAACACAGCCAACCCTTTTAGAACGCGTGGGAACGGCCTTGTGCCAGAGGGTGCTCAATGTCACGTGCTCTAGGGTCTTCTCCTCTCTCACCCAGCAGGCTTGATTCTTGACGCAGCCTTTGCAATGAAGGGTCCTGCTCCCTCCTCACTGCCCACGTTAAAGTACAGGGGAGAAACAGGCCTTCACAGCTGCAGCTCAGGGCTCCTTGTGCTGCTGCTGGCTTGAGTCCCTTGGGACAAAGAGGGGCCAGTCAGAGCTTTGACTTTTTATACTTGCCTGAGGGTGCTGAACTGAATCGTGGCTTGCCAGAAGTCCCTGGGAGGAAGGCAGGCATCTTGCTGGCTGCTGAGGGCTTTGTTTGCTTTCCCTTTTTCTTTTAGGACGTGTCAGATGACCCCAAGGCTGAACCACCCACACCTGGCACTGTGCTGCAGATGGCATAAATGTGAGGATCAAAGGAAAGCGGTGTGTGGAGCCCTGTCATGGAGAAGCAAGAGGTTTGGGACCCAGCCAGTTACATCACGACAGTGAGGATTTGCTTTACCCATTTCCAGAGCCAACAGTACAATGGCTTTTCTCCATTCCTATTAAGTGTGTATTCAATACTGAGTCAATGGAGAATACACTACTCTCCATCATGAGATGCAGAGGGTTAAAAAAAAAAATCTTTATTTCTACTTTGAAACCTGTTTGTACCGAATAATCTTATACAGCAGTATAAATAACACCCAAGTTTCCAAGGCAAACATCCAGGATGTCCAAGGTAGACATCTTAAATCTGTTGGTGATTTTAATTAATTATTAACCATTCAGTGCTACAAGTAGAGAGTTATTTAAAAAAAAAACCTTGGGTTACACTCTAAGAGCAAAAACATTCCTATTCTATATCATGGAATTAGAGGCTGGAGCAAATAACCCAGCTGGTCTTTCTAGGCTTTTGCCATAATGATTCCACTTGTCCTACTATTATGCTTTGGGATTTTATACTCTCATGCAAACCTCTCTGGTCACTCGCTGAAATGCCTAAGGAGGATTCTGCTACTCAGACAGAAGCACGGGGAAACTTACTAGCAAAATCCAGTTGCCGCTTTCACGACTGAACCAAAATAATTTAGTTAGAAGCAGTCCAGTTTCTTCAAGGATTTCTGTTACTGAAAATGAAAACAAACTAAAAGGGTAAGACAAGTTTTCAAAACACACAGCTGTGTGATAGCTCTTGAAATAAAGTTGCAGATCAGGGGATACCAGGAACACCTAAATGTGAAGTAAGTGGGAAGTTTCTGTCACAATCATTTCCTTGACATCAATTTTGGAGATGATGATAAAATTCTCAAACATCTAAAAGTTGTCATATTGGCAATAAATAATTAGAAGTCTTTTCCTTCACCACTGAAAGGTATAGCTTAACCTCTACATGATCTTAACTAGACAACATTCAGACCAGCTCGTCTCAGCCATAAGTCTGCACACTGACAAGTTTCTTGCTGCATTTATTTTTTCCCCCACATTCTGCAGTGTGTGAATCTGGAAAAGAAATGTTTCCATTACTTGGAGAAACAGCAGCTAGGGCCAGAATTAAAGTCAACAGTCACATCTTTGCAAGTTATTACACGTCACATAGTAGATAAAACTTCCAACAAAATCTCGCAAGGATTAGTTCTTTGGACTGAATGATGACCAGCTGAACTGGTTTCTTCGCCTTGGCAATACTAAATCCAATGACAAATCTTTCTGTTCTTTTTCTGAATCCACTAGTTGATAGCCAAGCATGTTTATAGCACCTCTGCAGACTTCTTGTATTTTCTTAATTTTCTGGAAGGAAAGAACATTTCTCCAGGCCTGAGAAACATTGACTGCATCACGGGAGGTGATTTTAAAGGCTTCCTTTTTCTTTCCTGGTCCTTGTCCATGTGTAATATTATAAATCCAGCTTTCAAGCCTGGGGGCCAAACTGAGATCTGCAAATTTATACATTTCTGAGATTTCTGACAGGGGATCTCTTACAAGGTCTTCAAAACGGATCATCAAATAACGATTTTTCAGGAAATCAGGAGGTTTTTGAGTAGCTGTTTCATAAATCTGCACATGACTTCTACAAATTTCCTGCATGACTAGGTATTTGCTGTCCTCCACTTTAGTGCCATTGGTGTTGAGAACTATTCCGTTGTCACGGACTAAGGCTTTTACAGATTGTTCTCGTGACTTAACTACAGCCCTGGGGTCACGCACCAAGTGAATGATTTTGAGGTTCAAGGAGGGGTCAGTAAAAAGCGGGTACAGAACCTTCAGATCAAAGAATCGGACCTCCTTGATGACAACGTGACTGTAGGTTTTACAAGCTTCCTCTACTTTGCTGAATGGGTATTTGCCACAAAGAGTCTTGCAGGCCATTTCATTTGTGATATCCATGCGTTGAAAAGAATCGCAGGCAGGAGCAGAGCAGAGAGCCCGACTCACTGCCCACTGGAAGAGATCGGACAAATTTCGCTTCCAAGGCATGTATGCATCAAACACGGACATGTCACATAAAAAGACAGACCTGACTAGGTCTCGCACTGCCATGTGTAAGACTCTGGCACTGTTCTGGTACATAGTTACCCACACGTGCCAGGCAGGCTCCATCAGGTAGAAGACGTCAGGATGCTGGCTGAAGAGCTGGCCAACGAAGGAAGATCCCGATCGCCAGGAGGAGAGAATGAGGATGTGAACCTGAGATGGCTTTTCTTCAGAGTGAGGCAGGAAGCTGCTGTGCCGAGCATACATGAACAGTAATAATCCCGTCTGAATCGTAATGAAAATCACAACCACGGTGCTGGAAACCCGAAGCCTTGCCATACTCAATGAAAAAAAGCAGTCAATATCCTAGAAAAAAGTTAGGAAAACGCAGCTTAGTACTTGGTACCAAGTCAAGACTCCTGGAGAACAAGTGACAAAATGCAACCAACAAAATGCCCAGCAAGCAGTGTCACCCCCCTTCTGCTACCACCCAGCAGCCGTCATTGCCAGCGTGCCTCCTTTGGGCTGCTGCGCTGCCTTCAGCAGCTGGTACCTTCCCGAGGCGCGGTCTGCGTGGAGCTGGAGCAGCTGCTGAGTGGAGCCGCTGCCGGAAGCTCTAGCGACTGGAGGGTGCAAGCCACTGTTGGCCTCCAGAACTACCTCCAGAGCAGGCTAGATAAAGCACAGCACAGGCAGGGAGCAAGGGGCATTCACAGGACACATTCGATGGGCACTGCCACAGTGCATGGGTCTAGCTCCAGCTCAAGAATCAGAGCAGTTCACCGCCTGGCTTCAAGAGCCCTAACCTTGCTGCATATATGCATCCTCCCCCCCGCCCCCCATGGGTCAGTTCAGCTGGCACCAACCTGGAACTCCACACATTGCCCTTTAATGCCTTTCCACTGCTGCTCCTCAAAGGGGCAATGGGCATGAGGCACCAGCTAAGGAAAACCCCAAGGGACTGGGGGGACCTTCACACTGCTACGGCTCCTGCTCCTTTAACTGTCAGAGGCAGCACTAAGGGGCCACCTGCCCTGGCATGGACACCGCTCTGCCAGCAGAAGGATTTTTTTCTGCCCCTAGAAGCAAGCCTGCTGCCCCCAAAAGCAAAGGTTCTGCAGCAGAAGCTGCCTCCTGCCGGGAGAGCTGTGTCCACACCAGAGCTTGCTGGCAGAGCGGGCCGCACACAGAACATTTGAGGAACCGGGTTACTCGGTAAACAGCTGAACTTTACACAGGGGCAGAGGCTGAGGCGCTCCTTCCTCTAACACTTTCAAAGCCGCACCAACAAGCCATATCATATCCTACATTCCCCATACGTACAGCAAATTTCAACACAGTCCTAATTCCCAAGACTAGGCTAGTAAGAACACTTGTGGTTTTTAAGCAGGAAGCCACTTTCAATGTTATGTGGAGCAGAGCCGCTGCTCCTTTCTGATCAGTCAGCCTCCGCTGGGCTGCAGGTACAGCCTAGTCTTTCCAGCTGGCACATGACAGTGAAGACTGTAATTGTGAAACCAAGAGCCAGGCTTTATAAGTGATGTCTGCCCTGCCCTCCCAGCCGACTCCTTGTCTGTGCACTACCCGAGAAACTAGAGAGACTCCAGTGGCCAAGGAGCACCCACCCATTCAAACCACATTAAGGGCACATGTGCATCACGCGGGGATCTGGCCAGGTGCGCAGGTTTCAGGTGCGTGCCGGCACCGCGCTGCGTTCAGACCGGTGGAGCCCGTCTCCGTGCTGAGCGGAGCAGGGAACCGAACCGGGAAGCTTTTCCTACTGCATTCACGGGCGGGATTACGGGACCTTGTTGCCTGCAATAAATACCCTGGGATCCAGCCCCGGATTGCTGGTTACAGTCACCAAGTGCTGGTGGTGGTGGCGTTGCACAAGCCCTTTTGCCTTCGCCTGGGTCACAGGCTTCAAGAAATGCTGCAGCCTCCGCTTCCTGATGCCCTTTACTTCAAGGGAACTGCTCCAAGTTGCCGAAAAGCTCGAGCCCCCCGGCCTGGGCAGCCAAGCCGACCGCGGCACATCAGGAAGGGCAGGGGCAGCAGAGCAGCACAAAGGAGCGGAGCAGGCAGCCTCCCGGGGACTAGAAAGGCCGGGCCGGGCCGGCCCCGGCCCCGGCCCCGCAGCTGTACCCCGAGCTCCGGGCAGCAGGGTCGCTCCCGCTCCGGGCCCGGCCCCGGGGCTAAACCCAGCCCGGCTGGCAGCCGCCCCG